TCAAACGCAAGCCAAAATGTTTCATCCTCGAGCGCAACGGTATCAAGGACTCATTAAGCATCGACCGGCTGAAACCGGCATACCTGGAGTCTCCTATACTGCAGTCGGCAGTTAGAAATCATTTCTTTGTTCCTACAACCCCAATAACTGTAGACCCTCTACCACTCTCCTCTTCCCCACCACCGCAATCTCCACCCGAAGATACTCAGGACTCTTGTGTTTTCCCTCCTCACCCCCTTCAACATGAACCCTATTACACCCGCTACGACCGAAAGTTATTTTCACCTCCTGATTGGCCGACTATGTACATTCGGTAAATCGAGCGGTTTCCCTTTCTCCTTTTAGGTTTCTACAAACGCTCTAGGGGAAGAGTATTGTGGGACACGTTATCGCTCTGTGCGTCATCGTATGCCTGCATGTCTGCTCGCCAGGATTGGGAGGTGCGGCCGTACAACTCTGGTAGCAGCGACTGTACAAACAGTGACCAATCGTAAACCTCTGTTTAACCTAATCCCCCATCCTGATCATGAGTAGCTCCCTGCGTGTTCAGATCTCTATCAATATACGAACTGAATAAGCGTATTCCGTGCTAATTCCCGAGGGCTTTCTAGTTGGAAGAAACTGCTATAGAGATTTCTGAGAATAGTCAAGGTTATTGAGGTAGCTAATCCGCTACAGCTTTAAGAGATTCCTAATTGAAGGAATTTATCTTTATTAAGTCGCTAAAAAATAAAGTTTTATGAAACCTATTGCACACTTTACTCATGACTATGATATTATGTTACTTTTTTGGCCAACTTGACCTTCATTTTAGTATTAATTGATACAACCTTCCATCATCTCCCTTGCGTCATATCAATCAATGTCAGAACAATTTAATGGGCTGACAACTTGACATCTATCAGAACTTTCAATCAAAAATCGATTTTTGTAGATGAAATCCTATTTTTGCATGGGTAAGTTGAAAAGAAAGTCATTTCCAATCGACATTTTTTCTTGGTGTTGTAGAAAAGTCTGTCTTTACCCTGTATAAACATATAACACGGTCGTATTTCAAATTAAATCCGACAAATACGATACTATTGATTTCAATCTCAGTAGACCATATGGAAATATATTTGAAGGTTACGTAGAATACTAATGAATAAATTTTCGTTTTTGCCATGCCAATGACTTTGGATCATTTTAGATCAAATGGATTTAATTTATTTAACGTCTTCATTTTCCTTTTTTACATTTTTTTGATTAAACGGAAAATTTATATTTTTACGTAGCTTTGAATTAATTTACTCTTAGCTTTAAATAATTTTTTAAATTGATTGCAAACAAAGAATGATTGATTCAATCAAATAAATGATAAAATAACAGGAAAAGTCATTTAACCTACGAAATTTGATACTTTGCGAGATACATAATATTAAAACTGCAATAAAATCATTTGTCTAAAGTGAGTTCAAATATTTTACTGCTTTATACACAGTTTCGCTATATATATACGAGAATGCGTTAAACGTCCCGTCAGAATTTGCCGTCCTTACGGCCACCCTTGACATATACAAACGTGTGCCAAACAAAACAACCAAAAAAATAAATTTCCATGAGCTAATTTGACTAATATAATGCCTTTGAAAATACAAATGATTATTTTTTATTCATTTAACTTCAGTCCAAATTGTAGTTATAACTTTCTTATTTTCGTGCCTACAGAGGTCGATGATATTCATCAGCGAACTCTTCTTGCGTTTACAATTGTTACTATGAATATTAAAACAGCATGGACGGCAAATATTTACAATATCTGTATTTTTTCGAACCAGTGAAATTAGATAAAAATGATGGGAATAAGTTTTTGGAAATTGAAAAAATCATAAAACTGTTTTATTTTTTATATTCTGCTTTATCAATTAAACTTATTTTTGAATTCAATTACCCAAGAAGGAAACCCTGTAGAATTGATGCAAATAAGTGAATATCAAGTATAGAGGGTGGGACACACGTAAGAGAGTTCTAAGAGCCACTTGCTTATATTCTATGCTTGCGAATGATTTTTCCATGAACCAGTGGTTGTTTGTCAACGAGTTTGCGATGAGAAATTAAAGTGATATCTAAATTAACCACGAAGAGGTTCTGATGAAAGGTTTGAAAGCCTCATGGTTTTAAGCTGATTTAACAATGTTTTATGCTTGATTTCATTTAATATTCTTTAGGCATCAAAGTCAAATTACCTTACCATTACTCAAAGTTGAGAATATAAGGTGGGTTTAAATTCTAAGTGTGTAAGGTGAATGTTTGACGATGGCTAAATATCCGCTAAATACCGTTAGCATTTGAGATAATTTTCAACAAACGGGATTATGGGTAGAGTGCATTAAGAGTTCAAAATTTGAAGATATTTAATTGTCCATGGAGGTTAAGGGAGTATGAAAGTTCAATAACTGAATCTCTAAAAAGAGAAGTACTGGCATAATTGTACAATTTTAAGCCTCCAACTTTCGGCATGGCCTTTTCCACACCTGAGGAATATTTTCAAGCATAATTTTTTATTGAGCATCCATTTAATTAGACACAAAATGCAGCATTTACTATTTACTAAACTTACAGAATCCCAATGGCAGGCGTTATGATAGGTATCATTAGCCCTTTAGTTGACTTCGGGCTTCGCAGAAAGGAAGATGAACATCCAACTGGTAAATCGTCGAGAGGGGGACAGAATAATGATTCACAGACATAAAAGAGACAGATAGACACAAAGGTAAAAAAATGTAAGGTGATTACTGTGGAATTATTCAAATATGAAACGTAATGGGGTCATGGTAGTTTGAAGTCAGAAGTCAATTGCCGATTAATAGACTTTTTTGCCGTATGAGTATACGTTGCCCAGGGTACACCACGTGGAGGTAAGTCTATCGCACACCCCACTTATTTGACATAAATTGTCATAATTAACTCTGCCATTATCAACCTCCAATTAATTAAATATTTTTGTAGTGTGTTTTACGCTCTTTCAGCATTCGATTTACAACTTGCTTGCACATTGCAGCAGCAAACCCTCCGACTTGCTACTTTATTGCCGACTTATTCTCAAACGCAAACTGTTGTGCAGAGACAATATGCTGTTTTCGAAAGTAATTATTTTGAAATGATTTTTAACGGGATTAAAAAGCGCAATTTAAGGTATTATTGCGTACGTTCTGATGCATATTGCGTACTAAATCAAATTACCTTACCATTACTCAAAGTTGAGAATACATGGTGGGTTAAAATTCTAAGTGTGTAAGTGGAAGATTTGACGGTGGCTAAACATCTACTAAATACCGTTAGCATTTGAGATAATTGTCAACGAACGGGATTTTGAGTAGAGTGCAGTAAGAGTTCAAAATTTGAGGATATTAATTGTCCATGGAGGTTATGGGGGTATGAAAGTTCAATAACTGAATCTCCAAAAAGAGAAGTACTTGCATAATTGTACAAATTTAAGCCGCAAACTTTTTGATATGGCCTTTTCCACACAAGAGAATAATTATCAAACAAATTGTTTTGTTGAATATTCATTTAATCAGACACAAAATGCAGCATTTACTATTCAATAAACTTTCAGAATCCCAAGTAATAGACCAGTAGGGAAAAGAAGTGACTATACAAAAATCATCATGGTGCATATTGGAACTAGTAGTAACACAGAATGAAATTATCGAGGCACAATAGAAACCTCCTATGTTCAGGGACGTAATGAAGAGAGCGAATTGTAAGAAAGGACAAGAGAGAAAGGAATGGGGAATGGAGAAGAAGTTGACACTAAGTGAGTCAGCACAACTTGGCGATTGATATTGCGTAAAGACCAACTGTTATGATTAATAGAAATAGGCTTAAGTAAAGTCAATTCCTAGTGAAATATATGCAAATGCTTTGCATTTTACTGCGATAAAATGCAAATTATCAACGTTTTCATTAAGTGGATATCATCAAATGCTGGAATTTGAATATGGAAACACTATTAATAATCTATGGATCATACCAATAAATAAGAAGATAGTGGAATACATTCACGATTCTAATTAGTTGAACGTATTTGTAAGCTCAAGCTTTCAAAATGAGTACAGATGAAAGTATTGATATTCAT